AACATAGCATGGGCTGTGAGGTATGATTAAAATGCATTGCATCTTTATGACTAACATTTGATTCTTATCATTCGGCGTGGTCACGAAACTCTCTTACCATCGTGAAATTTCATGACGAAATTTTGACGTTTTATTCTTCTCCTAGGTTTTTTCGTGAAACAATTCTCAGAACTGTGCAACATGCTCAATAGTCGAGCAAAATTTTCTAAATCAAATGAAATGTGTCTGGCTTTTTCCGCGATCTTTTGTTTCCACAGAATTCAGACACATTTCATTTGATTTCACAATTGTACATGTTACACAGTTGTGAGAATTGTTTCACAAAAAAAACTAGGAGAAGAAGAAAACGTCAAAATTTCGTCACAGAATTTCACGATGGTAAGAGAGTTACATAGCCACGCCACATTGAATTAATAAAAACTGCGTTGATTCTACTAACGTTATTATTATCCTATAAAAGAAAGCATCTAGCTATACAACTAAAATTCGAAAACATTTCCTTTTACATGAGTATAAAAGTTTCTTCCTTCTATACTCGTCGTCGTCAATTTAAACATCACTTAGCGTACAGCATTTTAAACTCAGCATTTAAATTTACTTTTGAATTTAAGTAAAAGGTTTAGGAACAAAAATGTTTGGATTTTTTCTATTATCTTAAGTTGCCCAGGAACACTTCTGCAGTTGCTGCAGGTGTGTACCTTCATATTCGATTTGAGAACAAAATCCAATCTTATGTTGTCGTCGGATAGTAAGAGAAATGTTAGGGTAGAAAAGTTTAGGAATCTTCCAATGTACACATCTTTTTCCAGAAACAAAGGCATTTGAAAGTGTTTTACAAGAAACCAAATGGTGCCAACTGAAACGATAAGTGTTTCTCTTCCTTATATCTTATAACTCATTAATCAAGAGTCGGACAGACTTGTGGAGTGTCTCATTTTGACGAGAAAACCTTGCTCTTCAATACTAAGTCTGAACAAAAGTTCTATGTTTCTAGTTGATAAGCAGAAAGAGCTGTAAGGAAGTTTTTCAGGAAAGGTTTTGGAAACTCGCTAGGAAACCACTCATTAACTGAAATTGTACAGAGAAACTATGCAAGCTTATGCAATTTTTTATACTCTTTTCGATGACGTATTCAAAATTTGGTTAAAGCTCGTCTAAAACTGATGGAATTAAAATTCAAAATTTAAGTTTTAATTTTAATTAAATTTCAAACTCGATTCTTGACTTTTATTTTCATTTAGAAAGGCAGAGAAAGACTTATGATTCCATTTGGTGCCATTTGATTTGTTGTAAAAGACTTTCATATGCCTTTGTTTCTGGGGAAAAGAAGTATACACTACAAGAACCCTAAACTTTTTTCCATTAGAAATAAAATTTTTCTCTACTCTCCGAAGACAACATAAGATTAGATTTTGTTCTCATATGGAATATGAAGGTACCCACCCTTAGCAACTGCAGAAGTCCTTCTGAGCAACTTAAGGTGACAGAGAAAAGCTCAAACATTTTTGTCCCAAAAGTTTTTATCTCTATTTTAACATTTGTATCTAAAATCTAGTGACAATATTGTAGAATAGACTATAATGTCTTTATCTCATAAGTGCAGATGTCCAAGTGAGAACTGCGTTTTGCATAAAAGACGTAGAGACATATGTAAACGATGGCACTAATTCCGATTATAGCCATCTAGACTGTCCTCACATCGTCGGAGATCGGTTTATGATAGACTAGGTCTCCAAAAGTGAAACGCTTTAGATTAAAATCAGTTTCTGATATTGCTAATTTTTGATCGCACCGAGTTATCGAAGGTAAGCAAAGTCGATAAATTCGAAAGAATATTGAAAGCGATATAGAGACAAATGTATATAGGAATTGTTTGAGACACAAAGTGTCTTCTTCAACTTATCTGGGCCCACCGCAACACAAAAGGTGAACTTTTTCTGTTATTTTACTATCAGTTCTTGAACAATCTATTCGCTCGCGATTGTTCATCGGAAACTCGAACTACACTGTTTACAACGCTGTAAGCCCGTGTCCTATGGTCGAAAAGATTTATAGATATAGGCAATTTGATGCTCTCTGCAAACTGGTAATGTCAAAGACTGATTTTGATCTAAAACATTTCAAATTTGAAGACCTAGCCTATCATAAACCGATCTCCAAAGATGTGAGGACAATCTAGATGGCTATATTCGAAATCAGTGTCAGCTCTTATATTTGTCTCCAAGTCTTTTATACAAAATTGCAATTTCTTATTTGGAAACGATCTCTCATGAGATAAAGATATCATCAAGAATTGCTATAAAATATCATACTGTATAGAACGATTAACATATTCAGCTGCAATATTGTAAAATTAAAGACAAATCAATTGTTTCTTGTCATCTTAGGACATTGGTTATTCTATTTGTTCTATGTATTCTTTTAACCATCACATTGTGTGTGAAAATAAAACCGGATGCCTATTTTAATTCTGTTCATCCTATGTATCTATTTCTAACCTATTTCATCTATTCAATTGCAGTAATATCATTTTGTATTATGCTGGCACAAATATTCGATAGCTTTATACGTGCTCTAATGTTTACGATTTTGGTTTATATTCTATCGTTTGCGTTACAGTCAGCGAGTGTCACATGGCCATTACCAATTCAATATATTTTCTGTTTTGTACCCTTTTATAATATTCATTCATTATTTCGACAAGCTGTCTTACATGATCTGGCAGTAAAAGATCTACAATTATTTCAACAATTATATCGTCATTCACCAATCTATTTTATATGCTTAATTATTATGTTAATAAGCACCGTTTTATATTGGTTTCTAGCCTGGTATATTGAGAAGGTTTTTCCAGGTTAAAAGAAAAGTAAATTCCTTTGAAATTTTTCTTGAACTCTTCTCATTTAGGTCAATATGGTGTACCAGTCAGCTGGTATTTTCCTTTTACAAAGGCTTATTGGAAATCCGATGAGGATGAACGTCAAAATTCGCTTGAACTTGGCCCATCAAAACATTCGGTTAGAGATAGTTCATCGAAAACAGCAGTTGTACGTGTAAACAATTTAACAAAAAAATTTGGTCATGACAAAATTGCTGTTAATGACGTCTCATTTACACTCTATGAAAATGAGATAACCGGTCTATTAGGTAAGCAATAAATATCATGAATATATTATGTTCCGATACACATCAACTAACTAAAGTGATTAGTACGTGATATATATTTGAAAGGTTGAAAGCATGACTCGATCTGTGTGTATTATGCAGAGAAATCGAAAGAGTGAGCGAGAGAGAAACACGAGGGTTGGACTATATTCTTAAATTCATATAATCGGCATTCTTTGACAGTTCTGATAGCAATGTCACTATAGCCTTGTTTACTGATTGGATGCTTTTACTCTTTAACTGTCATTTGTCTCAACGTTAAACAACTAAGCTTGGCATAAGTTTACTACAATTTTGTTTATTAACTCGAAGTCTTTCTTTTATTCTACATCTTTAAGAGAACTTTCTGATGTTGATGATGGTGAGATTATCGTTTATTCTTCTATGAAAACTTTCAAAGATTTGTCCGCTTTCCGAAGGAAATGGAAATTTGAAGTGTAAGTTTAAAGAGAAGATCCTAGAGAAAAATGGTCGTTTTTAATTTCAACCAACTCAATTTCACACTTTTGCTCCGTTGGAGCAAGGCTGACAAGCTTTTCAAGAATCATGGTATCATGCGAATCTACAAGATTGCCAAGAACTCATTTTTTTAGATCTTTAAAGTTGAAAACAGCCAAGCGTTGCTTTTTTAACAAAAATATCTTCTCGTCAAATTTCCGAGGAATAAGCTATTTCGATTGTAATTGAAACGGATTCCATTAGTTTATCGGAGAAGAGTTAGATTTTCAGATTCGAAAAGGTTTTCAAAAGGTGATGATTCTCGATAAAAAGCACTAAGAAATACAGCCACAAAATGAAACGTATCACTTTGTAGTATGGTAAGGTCAACGAAAGTTTGATATACAGATTCGACAGTAAAAATTACGATACCAAAACTTCTGTTGGATTGAGTTTGAATTGAAATCTCAATAGCGATAATGTGTACTGAAATAAACACGAGATTCATGATAAGAGTGAAAAATGTGCGTAGTGACTTGTCTTCAAGCTGTATTTGAGAATGTTTGCCCTCAGAAAGAATGCTGTCGGCGCTTTTCAAGCGCAAAAACGTGCATGAAACTCAAATAAACAAAAAATTCGCCCCTAAGGTGCGACAAGCTCTCAGAAATCTCTATTCAAGACCTGAAAAGTTTTTTGTGATTTCGTAACGTAACCTATCAAGGCCTGGAACCGAATTCACAAAATTGATTACCTTGACGAGGACCTACTGACATTGTACTTTTGGATAGTTGAAATATCTCTTGAAAGATAAATTTTTCGACATTAGTTTTTAATTTTGATATCAATATTACTACGTCTGACACCGTTTATACAATATGCTTCCCTTTATATGATGTGATCTCTTAACATCGAATTGACATCGGGATAATCATATTGACGATCTTATTCTCACATGCTGCACATGTTTATGAACAGTTTACTGGTGTTTCAAAGGCATCTCAGTTCTAGTTCAGAGTGTTGTACTATTGAATGTGTCACATCCCATTGACATTTGTATAAATTGCGTCTTTCGCTTTCTCTCTCTTACTGGTACATAGATCGAATATTCAAACTAAAACAAATAACTTTCTTACAAAATTTGAGATTTTATGTTTTCTATTTAAAGGTCATAATGGGGCTGGTAAAACGACAATTATCAATATCCTTTGTGGAATGTACAAACCTACATCGGGTAGTATACAAATGATGAATGCCGATGCTGAAAAAAATATGCAGGCATTAAGAAAACATATGGGCTATTGTCCACAACATGATATTCTCTTTGATTTGCTAACTGTAGAAGAACAGATCGAATTTTATGCAACGGCCAGAGGTAACAGTCTTATTGAACTTCTCGGTGATGCAATCAAAATTTTTAGACTTCTGAGGTGATTTTCGTAGTTAAAAAATATCGATGAGGCTCTTGAAGACCCGGTTTTGTGGAAAAACCAGTTTTTCAGAAATTCTAAAAAATAACCCAAACCTTTCTTAATGAGACATAATTGTAGCCCGCAAATTTCTGATCAAAATGAGACACCTCCCAGCTCTACACCTCCCAAAGTTATAGAGTTTATACGAAAAGCCCTATTCTTATTTCTGTAGCTTTGAGTTGATAATGAACATTTAGGGCTTTTCTTGTAAATTCTCTAGCTTTGCCAACAAAGGTGATGTAGAGCTGGGAGGTGTCTCATTTTAGTCAGAAATTTGCGGGCTACAGTCATGCCATATTAAGAAAGATTTGGATTGACTTTTAGAGTTTCCAAAAAACTGTTTTTTTCACAAAACTCTGCAGGAGCCATGGAGATAAATCCTTTTTGGGCTTTTTACTAGCTTCCTATGCTCTATCGATTGACTTATAGATCACTGGAATCAGAGGTGAGCATGTCCATAGGTTCCCTGGTGAGTCTAGCTGCTGACTGGTTTAAGTGGCATAATGTTTTCGATATGCGGCACTTTCGCACAAAAGAATCTTATTGGTGCGAATGATAGTCAGATGTTTAGGTGGTTATAACTAGGAGTGCATCGGTTATTTTTTCGTATTTTTCAAAAATTCACAATAAATGTTTTGTATTTTCATAAAAACGATTTGCAACATTTTTCTAAAACGGCAGTTTTGTAGAGAAAACATTTC